AGGCTGACACACTGGGAGACACCAAGATCTCAGGTGTCTTTAAGATCAGGCTTGACTGAGCCACCTGCCAAGCATCTCCTGGCCCGGCTGCCAAAAGAAACGAGCCTTGTCAGCCACCGCCCCGGTGGGACGAGGAGCTCCCCCGCTCTGCGGAAGCAGGCTGCAGGCAGAGGCAGGAGGCTTCTCCTTAGCGCTCCTCCTGCGTGAAGAGATGGGACCCCTGAGACAAGGGAGTCCACCGTAGCACAGACCTGCTGGAAATGGGGAACCATCGGTGTCCTCTGCTCCGAGCGCTACCGGAGGAACTATCGGTGTCCTCTGCTCAGTGCATGGCATCTGAAAAAGCAACCTCAGCTCTTCCTTCAGTATTTGGCCCTGGAAGGGAGGAGCTGTGCTTGCCCGCATCAGCTGAACCTGGAGAGGTGTTTTCAGGGAGCACCCTCTCCCCCCACCCGAGAGCTGAACGCACCGTGCCTGGGGGCCTCTCCCAGCCACGGCTGACATTTGTCAGGAGCAGAACCTCTGCGCGATTAATAGAAAAGCACCAAACAAAGAACACTTAGGGCTGTCCCAACGAAACACACGGACGATCTGCCATCTTCCTCTAGAAATTCAAGTATGTATAAACTCTGGACCTGAGGACACACGGCAGCACCTCCTCCTGCCCACCCCCCCCACGTCTTTAGCCAGCACCTGCAGGGCTGCATTACAAACAGGACCAGGGCAAGAAGCAAGGGCAAGTGCCACGTGCCACAGCCAAGGGGTGGGAATGAAGGAGGAGAGATGGGAGCTGAGCAGGACATTCCAGAGATCCCCTGAGCATCCTCGGGCCAACCCACGCTCAGCCATTCACGGAAGGCAGAGCTCTCCTGCGTTGCAGGAGGAAAGATTTGTCATTAGCAAGCAGGGCTGTTCGTCGCGATAAGGTCTAAGCTGATGTCCTTATTGTGCCCTTAATTCCCCTCCGCTGCCTGCCGTAGCTGGCACGGGCAGCGCTGGAAGCGCACCAAGAGCCGCAGCTCAGGCAGGCAGCATCCCACTCGGGGAGGGACTCCCCGCTGAACACGCAGCTCCCAACAGCCCCGGCACGGTGCCAGCGCAGAAGCGCTCTCCTAGGACGGTGCCATTAAGGGCACGTTAGTCACACGGCCGCGCACGTAGCCGGAGGGCCGGCCCCGTACGAACAGGGTTAGCATCCGACCGGCGGCTGGCAGCGCTCGCCGCCCCGAGGAAACCCTGACCCAGCAGCAAGAGGAGGGTCGGGACTCCCCCAGCTGCATTTTTATTTATAGGGCTATCTCACACCACTAGGATGATGATTCATTTTTTTCCAGTCAAGCATTCAATGCACGCCCTATTCTGGTACTGCAGCCTGGACATCTCTCCAGGAGAAAAACAAAAAAAGAAAAAAAAAAAAAAAGAGAGGCTTTCAAAATGTTTTCAGCTGATCACACAAGCAAATGGTAAGACAGACTTTTGAAATGATAAAATGATCAAGCAAGCTTTCAAGTTTGCAGTCAAATGCATGCTTAAGCCTCCGGAGACTGAGAGAACTTCTTGTTTAAAACCCGCTCCCAAATCCTGCCATCTTACTTAAAAACAAAAGCCAAGCCTTTTGCCCTACCAGCTGAATTCGATGCATACAAATTAAGTTTATGGGACATTTCCTTAAAAAATTATTTCCTTCTACCAGGGCAATTCCCATGGCTGCTCTTGCAAATGGGCGAGCTGATGTCATCGAAAGCGTCCATCACCAAAAACAGGGGAAAAACCTTCTATAAAAGAGAGTCATTTGCTGCAGAAAAGCAAAACTATTACACTCAAAAGAGAAGGAGGAAGAGGGAAGAGGGGAGTTTTGCTTGTGGAAGCAAAGATTCGATTACAATCACATTGAAGAACGATGGAGAAACCTCGGAGCCTCTGAAGCCCCAATTTAGCTCCCGTAACCCTAAACCTAGAGATTCTTCCCAAGCTTGCGTTTGACTCATTGAATGGGCTATGGCAGTAAATGCTTCAAAGTCAGCTCCACTCCTTCCCAGGGAAAAACCCCACCAAGATGGAAGTTACCCTGGAAATTTTGTGCACTTCACCTCCAGGATCCCACCACCACGGCGCGGAGCCTGGCTCGCTGGTCCGGACAGGGAAGTGGGACTTCTCCAGCACCCGGCGCCCTTCCCGTGCCACCCACCTTCCTGCTTCCCGTGCTGCTGTCCCCCCTCTTCCCTGCACGCGGGACTCGTCTCCTCCCCCAGCACCCAGACATGAGCAGAAATAATGTGATGTTTTCCCTTCAGACTTAGCTGAGTAATACAGCGATGCGTCACCAAATACCCTGCAGAGGTTTCGGGGCTGTGGCTGCCAGCGCTCCCTCGCACCAGGCAGGCTGCTGAACTGGGCTCCCTTTCTTCATTCAGCGCTCTGAACAAACCACAGCAGACCTCACCCGCTCCCTGGCACCCTCCGCCTCTGACGCTTGTGCCTTTTGGCACCGCTACCTCGGCCCCCGGCCCCTGCCAGGAACGTAACACAGAAGATCTTGAGGAGCCCGGCAGAGACATCCCAGCTACCCGAAACAAGCGGCCTTTCAGCTTGGAGACAGACGGCTGGAGATGCCAAACACCGCTCACACACAAGGTTTTCAAGGTGGTGGTAGCTCAAGTGTTTTTACTTAACCCGCAGGAATTTCTGAGCTCTTAGCAAGACCTTATTTTTGATCGCAGCTGCAATATTTTTCTCCTGGTATAAATTTGCACATTTCGGGTTGCCACAATCGAGCTTTATGCAACCCTGGCAAAAAAAACCCCAAAACCCAAGCCAGCAAACCCAGGCTCGCTCCGGTCACCTTGCAGATCGGGCGCTCATTTCTAGACCGTGACTTCAACGCAGCAGGCTGGGCATTGAATCCGCCCCCCTGAAGGCACCCAAGCAGGCATTTCTCTATCTCCGAATTAGATGATGTTACTACTCTCATTTCCTCAGCACAGGAAAACGAGTGAGTCAGCTTGTGCTCCGACGTTTTTGGGGCAAATCTGCAAGGACAGATGTTATAAAAATAAATAATCTTCCCATCCTCATTCCAGCAATCACAAGGGACAGCCGCATGGGCAATAAATATTTGACAAACAAAGCATCTTGTCAGCCGCTGACAAAAATAACAATTTAAACAAGAAATCCTTGCATGGTTGCCCTATTTTTTATATTCGGAGCAGTTCTGCTAAGTGACCTCCCCTAAATGAACCCGTTTCAACAGTCTGGCTCACGCTCATTTTTGCAAACAATAGGTTTGACATTGCAAACGGAGAACCGCTTTGCCTCGACGCCTGGGCTCTGCTACAGGGCTGCTGCGGATCACGCCACGACGGCGGGACCACCGACAACGCGACAACCGGCTATCTCGCGAAAAGAGGGAACATCAGGGACGTTCTCACTGCAGTATGGGTAAGTCTCGGGATTGAACACCCACACGACGCGATCAAGCGCATCTCTTTAGCCTCCGAGAAAGCCAAGAAGAAGGGAACTACTCGGCCAGAAGGTAGGTGACTAGCTAAAACCCACAGAGACGGTGTAGCCCAGGGACCTCCACCGGCAAGCCCAGTGCCCAGCGGCGCAGAGCGCCGTGACCGACAGCCCACCGAGCTGCTCTGCACGGCGCGACGGCATCCGCGTGAGAAATGCTGCGTCGAAACAGAGCCGCATGCCACCGCTCCCCTACCAGGCAAAGCTGCCTGGGACACACGGCCACGCTTCTGCATCTTCTTTTGGAGAAAAACACCGGGTTACGGAAATGGTAAACTGAGTACCAGTCCCTCCCACGGCAGGGGCAAGAGGGAAGGAGGATAAGGGTACATTTTTGACTACACACTGAATTCAGTATCAAAAAAATTTCCAGGGAGGAATTGTGTTTACATGTAATAATTTCTGACATATGAGATTTAGGAATTTAATTAATGGGTTGTGGCTCTCACTGGTAAATAAGCCCTGGTACATGTCCTGTCTCTCACCGCGAGGAGGCAGGCACCCTACCCCTTCAAACAAGCCAGCCAGCCAGGACTCCTGCACCAAGTACCCTGCAAAGGAAAACTCGCAGCACAGCATCAGGAGACCGCCAGCTGGGCTGAATTTTGTCCAGTCGTGAGACACAGTCAAACCCACCAGCTCTGCAGTTCAGAGATGCCAGGCGGGACCGGCTCACCCGGGGGTCCCCCAGCGAACGGGAGCCAACACGTCAGAGCAATACCTCATTTCACCAAAACGTCAGAGCAATACCTCGTTTCACCAAAACGTCAGAGCAATACCCCGTTTCACCAAAATGTCAGAGCAATACCCCGTTTCACCAAAACCGTCCCCTTTGAGAGCTCCAGGAATTAGTGCAAGAAGCCAGGACCGCCGCTAACTTACCTTTAGAAGCTGGACTGGCGTGGCGGCCCTGCTCTGACACAGAACACAGCAAGCTGCACCCAGCAGTTCTGTGTCTCCATTGACGTGGTTTGCAATAGGTTTCCAGACTTGGAGGCCAACATCTAACCATGGCTATGAGCAGGCAGGTGGGACGCCAGCTCTATCTTCTGCTAAGAAAGCAAGCAGTACCTCCTTCCAGCCCTCCAAGCTAGCAGAGGTGGAACCAAGCCCATCCTGGAGCTAAATGGTATGGGGACAAGATACCTGGTTTTAACATGCCCATCATATCCCTCTCAGGGAAGAAATCCTGTACCTTTTGAGAAGCTCTAGTGGTTTCATAAGCAGCGGGAGCTGCAGAGGATCTGCATTTCTAGCAGCTTCATCAGGTTTTAAGATATATATGAAATTTCCAAAAGAGAACTAATCCTCTTGCATCACTTCTCCTCGACAGGACATCACGGCCGGCTGCTGAAAGGATGAAGCTGGACACAAGCGCAGGCTGGTGGGGGCTCAGCGCCGCGGCCACACAGCACTGCCTCCCCCTGCCTCGTTCAGTATCCAGGGTGGACGTGCAGTCTTGAACCCGGCGCCTTGAGCCCCAGGCACTTGGCTTTGCGATGGTGAATGGTCGCCAGCAGGCGACAGGAGATATCTCTCCACCTCAGCGACTTTTTTAAGGTTTGCAAAGTGCAAAAGCAGCAGCAGGAAGGACTGTGGGGAAACTCAGCCAGAACCACCAAACAGGACACAGTTAAACAGAGGAACTCCGCTGGACAGAGCAAAAGTTCACTTGGCTGGAAAAAATCATTACAATGAATTCACGGCAGGAAAGTTCATCAAGGACTATCAAGAAGAAAGGCACGGCCTCTGGTATCTCAAGTCATAAATCAATGGAAGCTGGGACAATGCACGGTGGTGTCCCAATCATAAACTCGTCCCTGGCCCCCGCTCTGGGCTGCTGCTGGAAGCTACGGAGGGGCTCAAACAGACCTTCACTCAGTACCTCCTCAGCACCCTCTGTATTTCCGTTGCCTGAAGGTGGGCTTGCTTTGGTAACACCATCGAATGTGCCACTCGACACAACAACCTGCATGAGCCAAGACCAAGTTGAGGACTCAAGTTTGGAGACAGCAGGATGAAGGCTTCCTACCCCATCTACCTGCGCATCTGACCCATACGAGCTGCAAGACAGGCTTTTAATTACTCAGGCACACACGGGGGTTATCTAGACCTTTGCCTAAGTCAGCACCAAGAACCTCATACTCTTCTTGCATGGGTGGCTGTTCAGCATCTCCCTCACCCCTCCCTAACCCGGTGTAGACACGGGTCTCAGTCGTTACGTGCTGCTCAAAGGCTGGTTGAAGGACAGTTACTCATCTTTCTCGGGGGTTATCGTTACTTGGTCCCTCAAAAGTTCATGCAAACTTTTACAGCCACAGAAGAGTAGCAGAGAGCGAGGCCAACAGCAGATGAAGACTTGAGCTCCTGCAGTATTTGAGCCCTATGGAAATGACACATGTCTGAAGAGCAGCTTCCCTGGACTTCAGGCTGCGCCTCCAAGAGCTCGACGCTCCTCACATCCAACCCCGTGGTCTCAGACCAGCTTTGCAAAGATGGGGGCAGATGGAAGGAGCTGCACGGTTGGGGTGACTCGTGCCCAGGGTCCGGCCAGAGGCAAGCGTGCGACTCAGCCCCCTGCAGCAGCAGCGGGCACCTCCTCTAGAAGGAGGGCTTCTTCCCCTCCTCCCACACCCACTGGCAACGCAAACAAATGATCTTCCCATCAGAAGGGCTGGGCAGGCCTGAAGAACGACCTCCCGCCCAGCAGAGGGGTTTGCACCACAATGGAAAGCTGAAAAATGGTTTGATACCGCAGAAAACATTTTGTTCTGCCAGAGAGGCCGCAAAGACCTCAAGGTCAGGCAGTATGGCAAATGCAGGTCCAAATGGTCATTTCCCAAAGAGACACAAAAAACCTCATCTCAACAAACCCAAAGTGCTACACTGAAAGAGAAGCCACGTTAAAAAGAATAAAATAAAGTCTAAGCAAACAGGCTCCTTTCTCTAGCTCTGCTCTCCAAACAGGCTCCTTTCTCTAGCTCTGCTCTCCAAACAGGCCAACACATTTTGGCACCCACTCAGCAGATAAAACTTTCGACACACATAGTTGTAACCGAGCCAAGCTGTAAGTAAATGAAAAAGGAACGCTCTTGTGAAGGACAGGAGGCAGCACCGGCAACGAGCAACCAGCCCCACGGGCAAAACCCTACCTTCCCAGCGTCCCACTGCATGACGCACATCCCCGCCGAATGCCTTGGCCAGGCTCTCTTGCATCCCTCCTTTTGTTAATGATACACTCCGAGTACATTTTCATTTAAAAATTATTAAGCTGCGAGACCATTAAGGAACCCTTTCTCACTTCCTACAACTGTGATTCAGAGCCACACCAGAGATAATCATCAGTCACCTCGCTCATGATAACAGTAAATTAATAAACAGCAACCCTGAAAGACACGGTGTCTCTCTTAATGAACTTCTAAGATACCGAAGTGTACGAGCGCTGTGACCAAAGTACGGGTTCAAACCAGGGCGTATCATTAGGAGCATTAATACGGGCCCTGCACGCCACTTACCTTTTGTGGGTGCGTACAGCTGCAAGTTTATCTAAAACACCTGGTTTCAGATAGGCAAGGTCTTTTCGTGTTTAAAGGCTATTTAAAGACACCCTCCAGGATCAACATCAGCCCAGTAAATAAAAAATGCAAGTATGCCAGTACTTCTCTTAGAAACCCTCCAGAGAAACAAAATCCCCGTGGCCTAAATCTAAGCTGCAGCTGCAGTGCACATGCCTGGGCAGCGCGGGGTCTTCAAAATCATCACTGTCTTGCCTAAAACCACTCGTAGGGGCTGCCCAAGGACAGCACGGATGGAAACCTATGCCTGAGTTACAGGTTTTGGCAGAGATTTGTAACTGGCTGTGACCTAATCCATGCCACGTGTACACCAGACGAAGCTGGAGCCTGCATTTATCCAGGAGTCGGGCAGCAGGAGAGGACACAACATGCCGACTCAAAGGGCTTCGACTCAGAACTGGAGAAACGACGGTCAGGTTTAGGTGCCCCGGCCACCACCCTGGATGGCACCCACCATGCTGACCCCCACCAGCAGCACCGCTGCTCAGCTGCGCCCCTGGGAGATGAAGGGATATCCCGAAGCGCCGCTAGTCCTCTTGGGAAAGCAAAAGATTAACCTCCGAGCACACCCACAGGGATCAGGCCTGGCCTACCTGCCTCTCCTGTGGAGGGCGGGGGTGTTTGGGCAGGAACCACCCGCCCCAGCAGAAAAACCCTTCCCCTTTTCCATGTGCATGCCCCTTCTACAGCCCCAGGAGATGCTCTGTCCACGCAGCCTGCTGGAAAACATACCCTGCTGCTCCTGCTGCCACGGCACTACCAGGGGACACCAGACAAGAAGCCTTCCTGCACGTGGGGAAGGTCCACCAAGGTCCCCAGCTTGCAGCTTCTGGGCTGGACTGCACCAAGCTGATTCTTTCGTTCCCCATCCCTTGGAGGGCTCAGCTGCCCTGAACCACGGAAAGAAAGAGGCATTCATATTTAGGAGCCTGCAACTCCTTCTGTCTTTTCTTCCCTGAAATTCCCCAAATTGAACATCCCTGCTCCTACTGAGCAGAGCATGGTTAATAAACACGCATCTGGCACAGCGGCCGCCCCGCAAAGCGGTGCAAGTGAATGAAACACAAGGGGAGAGCACCAGACTGGAAAGGGAACTTTCTAATAGCAAAGGGCTTCAAAAGGACTAGGGAGAAAAGGGGAGAGAACTATGGGCAACAACAGAAGTCAAAGCAGCAGCAGAATCCACTGGCTTTTCCGTGATCTTCAAAGTAGAGAGAGATAAAGCAGCAAAAGCCATAGAAAATAACACATGAAACACGAGGTCCGTGATGAGCCACTAGAGGACAACCCCCTTTTACTGCTGCCGTGCGATGAGTTCGGCGCTGTGCTTCACAAAACAAACCACGGCTGTAAACCCGAGGCTTCGAATCGCTGAAGGAAACACCAGGAACACCGTCTCGAGTAATCC